GCATTCCTGGGTCCTGGTGTTGCTGCCCGTGCAGCGTCAGGGACTCACGCCAACCATCCTCTGAGGGCAGCGCTGTCTGTGTGGAACCTAGGACTAATAGCTTAGGAAATGTTTAGGGACAAAGCCAGCCCTCACATGTGAGGCCCAGCTACACCTGAGAAGTGGCTGCTTCCCCAGGCCGTTGGGTCTAAGGTGTCCATCTCCTCTCTCTAAGGTCCTGGGGACGCTGCTCTCTGTGCCGATAAAATGGGAGCTGGTAGCTAAAAGATCCCGCCCCAGGTGTTTGGATAGGAGGGATAACCGTGGGAGGCCCATCTCAGTGCCGTGAGGCTCACTTTTCTGTAAATCAAGATTGTTGGGACCAGCTGCTCTCCACACCCATCAGAGCCCAACAGTCTTGACCCCAGGGCCCCCGGGCTGTGGATGCCCTTACACCCATGGAAGTGAACTTGGAGAATGTGACATAAGCTCCCAAATGGCACCCTGTGCAGTCTCTGCCAGGATTACCACAAGGCCACTGGCGAACGCATTTGGAGTCTCGGTGTATGAGATACATAGCGAACGAACGACCTGCAAGGTTTGTGGGGTTGCGGGGGCATTTAGCAAAAGCAAAGCAATGCATTCATGCAAAGTACTGTAGAGATTTTATGTGAAAGGCGGGGACTTAAGCAGGCTTTTCTGGCCTAGCATAAAGATAATCACGGCGTAAGGTGGCGCCAGGGTGAGTCAGCACATGCGTAGTGAAGGCAATACTTTGTGGAGGCGCATGCAAGACTAGGAAAGATCTAGAAAACGAGGAAGATGTGAACAGCAGACCATGGAACTGTGCTTTACGTCCTTAGTCAGTTAATTCTGCCAGGTGTTCTGTAGAAAGTACCGGGTCTGTTTCTAAGTTGCCACTGCACAGCCCCGATGCCTCAGACCTGACTGGCAATGTCAGTCGGGAGTACAGAGCTCTGTTTGTGACAAAAAGCACCTGGACTCAATAAGGCGGGAATTCATCTCCAGCTGGGTGTGTAGCTCGTTTGATGCCCTTGGCTCCAATCCTGGGAAAGAGTCACCTAGGTGTGGTGACATCGTAGAACCCCAGCTGAGGAGGTGGAGGCATGACCCCTCAAGGTCACCCTTGGCACACAGTAAGTTCAAGGCCAGTGTGGACTACATGAGACACTCTCGGGAGACAAATCTCTTCACCCCGTCCTGGGAAGTTGAAAGCCCAAGGCCAAAGGCTCACACCTGACCAGAGCCTTCTTTCTATCCTGTGCAGTCCCATGGTGGGAGGGGAAGGAAGGGAGGGAGGTTAACAGCCCAGAACTCCAGCCTAAGCACCTTTTACAGCCCCCATTTCTCAGCACAGTTTCCCTGAGAATTCTTTCCAGCACCTGATCTGGGGACACATTCACGCCATCTCGGGAGCATTTTTAAAAGTGCCGCTTCTCGTCAGGCAGGAACCAGGGGCTGAATCGTTAGCGTCTCTGTCTCTGAGGCGGGATCCAGGCGTCATCATTTTCTCAATGGGCTTCTCAAAGCTAGTGCCCAGAGCAGCAGTGAGAACCCAGAGAGCAGGTGTCAGATGGCACCTGGCAGACAAATTCCCAGTCTCCACCTGAGTCTTAGGAGGCCGAAGCCCTGTAAGGGGGGCTCGGGCAGTCCCCAGCTCAACAGGTGCTTCTGGGGGCGGGCGGGCGGGCGGGGCGGGCCTGCTAAACTCAACCTCAGAAGGAGCAGAGGGTAGTGGAGGCTCAGGGGGATTGAAACAGATGTTTGGGGCCGTTTCTTCTAACCGTGGTGATTTCTGTCTGGTTTTAAGAAACAGGTCTTTTCAGGAGAGGAAAAAAAAAAACCTACAAGTACAAATTAAATACAGAATTGACTCTGAAATTAGTTTGCTGTTTAGAGTCATTGGTTCTAAATCAGTTAACATTTGGGTCCCCTTGTGTTGCCTGCGTCACCCACATAGGCACTGGCCTGTAAGAACTCCCTGATGGTAGCAGGGTTGTTTGTCAGTGCGGTCGGTCGGTCGGTCACTCTGGGATTTTGGAGATAAAATTATACTGTCAGCTGGATGCCTGCTCTTCTCTGGGGGAGGGGCCTGAGAATCCCTAAATGGTTTCAGCTTGTTTAAGAAGACGTCGCTGAGCTTTGAGTTCTGATCTGTTTCTAGATGACTCCTGCTTGCCGCTGTGGTCAGAACGGGGCTAGACTTCTTTCCTTTGTTGAGGAATTGGTAGCTTGGTGTTCCTTCCACCCCTCCCCCACCCCTAACAGGCTGGCAATCAGAAAGATGGGCTTCCTTTCTCGTTCAGGACAGCTCTCTCCAGAAAGTGCGGGAGAGAGCCAGTGCTCAACCATGGTAAAACTGAAACCTAAAACCAAAAGCCACAAATTCTAGGAATGCAGCTCCCTAAGTGAGGCAGAAAACCCAATGGTTTCATTATGTCAGTCATGTCCTCTGACTGTGACAAACACTAAGGAAGCCATCCGGAAGGACTTGACTTGGCTCACCACTCTCAGAGGTTTCCATCCTCCGTTGCTTGGCTCTGCCGGTTCTGGGCTGAGAAGCGCACAGCTCTGCTCACCGTGCTGCAGCCGGAAGGCAGCAAGCAGTATCAGGAAAGGGCCAAGGGGCATGCACACCCCCTTCGAAGACGACAGCCACCACCCACGTTCTTCAACTCGGCCTCGGCTCTGCGGGTCTACCGCCTCCTGTTAGTCTACCCAAATCCCGAGTCCATTATGGACTTAACCATTGATTAGGTCAAAGCCTGCATGATCTAATCTCTGGAAAGGGGCCTCACAGATGTGCCCAGAGGTGCCGTTCACCAGTATCCTAGGCGTCTCTCGAACCCGTCAAGGCTACAGTCAAGATCAACCATCCACGTTCACACTCAGGACCACCAGCTGTCAACCCAGCCCGGCCACATTCCATGCGTGGTCAGGGACCCAACAGCCTGGAAACAGCGCTGAGTTGTTTCCGTTTACAAAGAGGAAAAGACACAACCCGAGAGGGGCTGAGGGACATTCCTATAACCCTGCGTCCCTGAAGTGCGGAGCCAGAGTCCAAAGCTGGAGGGTGGGGAGCCTGAGGCCTGGAGCACCAGGTCCTCAGACTAGAGTGCTGGTAAACTTGGCACTCAGTACAAGGGCTGCCATGTTATAGGGTATGCCTTCTACTCAGTGGATACAGCTGCCCCGAGAGACAGCCACAGTGGAACGGACCCGCCCCCATTCTCGATAGATCTGAACACCTATGCAGTTTGTGAGGAATAATAATGCTTGGTTTGGGTCGTGGTCCTGAAGATATCCAATGGTGTGGGGTGGTCAGCACCTTGTACTACATTACAACATGACAGAGGGCATCACAAGGCTAGACAGAGCAAGTCCGCCATGGATAACCCATTCCATCTAAGAATAAATTCAAGGATAACAAAGCCATTCCCTCAGTAACATATTCATCTTTAAATGGGTTTGTCCAATTATGAGGGCAGCATATCCTTATAGCACAATGACTGGGTGACCTTGTTGCTCAGCACTGTTACACTGAGAACCAAGTTTCCAAGGTGTGGCCTTCCGGGGAAGATGCATTCACACTATAGCAACCACCCATTGCATACCCTTCCAAAGGTGACGGACGGTGCCTCAGTCCGAGTAGGTACATAAACCATTGTAGTTACTTCTCTGTTGCTGCGACGACAAACACCATGACCAAAAATGACTTATGGAAGAGTTTCTTTTGACTTACGGTTGCAGGGTCCATGCGGTGGGGAGGCTTGGGAGCAGACAGCCGGGACAGGAAGCTGAGAGATCACGTCTTCATCTGCAAACAAGAAAGCACAAAAGAGACTGAACTGGAAGTAGGCGGGACCATAGGCCCTCGAGCCCTCGCCAAGTGCTGTGCCTCCTTCGCGGTGCCCTCGCCCTCGCCTCCACAGCTTCCCCCAAGGGCGCTACAAGCTCAGGACCAAGCGCTCAAATACATGAACCTATGGGGGAGATTCCCACTCACCACCACAGCCACCAGGAACTAGTGTAGGGACGTGTAATTAATTCCCAGGTGCATAGAAGCAGAGAGGGGCTCTTTACCTCCCGTTCGTTTATTATTTATTCATTATTTCTGAGACAGGATCTCACTATCCCCAGCCGTAGACCCAAACTCATAGGGATTCTCCTGCCTCTGCTTCCGGGTGCATTTTTATTTTTAACTTTTAAAAACACACACTTATTGATTTATTTACTCTGTGTGTGTGCGTGCGTGTGCGTGCTGTGTGTGTGTGTGTGTGTGTGCGCACGCGTGTGTTAAGAGGGGAGAGTCAGCTCTCTCCTCCTTCCCTGTGTGTCCCAGGGATGGGACTCGGGTCATCAGGCCTGGTTTTAACCAGAACTTTCACCCAGTGGGCTATTTAGCCAGGCTATCTGCTTTGTTTATGGAGTAGTTACCACGGTGTCCATCTCTGTGGGCAGAGAAATTAGCGTTTGCCGTGGACATGGGTTGACTGGAAGGAAGTGAACATGCATACAGCACATGAAAGGGCCGTAAAGACAGTAATGAAGGAAACAGGAAAGAGACCCCACGTCATTTACGACAGGCAACATAGCAATACGCAGTAACATACATTGAGGAGACTCATTCCAATGGCCACCTACTAGAGAAGATGGTGAGGAGAACTACAGTGAATCAAGTTGTTAGCTGATTGACCAAGAGAGGTCAATGAGACTCCCAATGGCAGATACCACAGAAGCACGTTTGTCCGTTTCCCGATGGTATGTATACACCACGGAAGGATGTTTGTCCGTTTCCCGATGGCATACGCCACGGAAGGATGTTTGTCCGTTTCCCGATGGCATACGCCACGGAAGGATGTTTGTCCACTCCCCCGTCACCTGAGACTAAAGAACTGTGAGCATGGGCGGGAGGTGGGCCAGTTCACACTATTTGATTTCAAGTTGCATTTTCCTTCCAGGGATTTTGCTCTACATCCGGGGAAAGCTTGAAGCCCAGGATGATCCTGTCTAACTCCACCACTGTGGTGCCCTTTCTGGCCACGCTGTGGCAGGAGACAGCCGAACAGGGCAGCAACGTGTCGGGCCTGGCTCGCAAGTCTCAGCTCCGAGATGACAGCAAGCTAGAAGCTCTCTACATCCTCATGGTACTGGGTTTCTTTGGCTTCTTCACCCTGGGCATCATGCTGAGCTACATCCGGTCTAAGAAACTGGAGCATTCTCACGACCCCTTCAATGTGTACATCGAGTCGGATGCCTGGCAGGAGAAAGACAAGGCCTTCTTCCAGGCCCGTGTTCTGGAGAGCTGCAGGGCTTGCTACATCATTGAGAACCAGGTGGCTGTAGAACAGCCTGTCACACACCTTCCTGAACTGAAGCCTCTGTCATGAACCCCATAGCTCGTTAATAGACAAACCCTGCATGGGACAATCTGGTCCCTCTAGTCACACGCCTGTCATAGTCTTTATTGTAGGGGTACCATTGCATTTTTTGCTATCGAAGGATCAAGGGGTGAATCGATAATACAAGTTTTCTAAACTCACATCCCGTCTATAGTAGATGATCAACTAATTCTTGTCTCTTTAAGTCGAGCCAAGCCCCCAACAGTATGGTCTCTGGGAATGCAAGCCCAGTTCTCCCCCAAATCTCTGGATATTAGCAGGGTCCACGAGTAAGTTCTAGTCAGAGGATGTGGACGTGATGAATCCGGTTCGTAAACAGCCTTTGAGAAGGGGAAGGGTGTGCCCTCCATCTTCCTTGTCCCTTTTAAGGACGTCGACACACTGGAGGCAGCTCTGATAGAAACAGCAATGCACTCTCAGGAGGCACAGATGACCCAGGGCCCGGCACCTTCCTGCGCTGTCCAGCTGCCAGGGTGGTAAGAAAGGGCCTTTGCCCCACTCCTGTAACCTCTGCTAAAGTTGAAGAGCCAGTGGCCAAACACTCTAGCCTCCTGCCTCCAACTCCCTCACAGCTTTCCTTATCCACACGCGCACGCGCGCACACACACACTCACACACACTGTTCAATCCGCATAGAAATCGCTTCTTATAGGGCTGGGACAGTCGGAAAATGACTCCTTCAGAGTCGGCACCAAGAGCAAGGTGTGCAGTTATGACTGGAGAGAAAGTGGCCACCCCACCATGCCAAAGGCCACAGGGGAAGGTGCGCATGTGGGCACTGAAGCATGGGACTGATGTAGCAAGGCCCTTGCTGTGACAGGTTTGACTTAGGATGAATTATGTTCCTAAAAACATGTTGAGGTTCCAATCCCCAGTACTAGTAAATGTTACCTTGTCTGGAAGTAGGGTCTTTACCGACCATCACGTTTCAGTGAGCGACTGAGGTGGGTCCTACTGGCACCCTTCTAAGAGGGGGGGGAATACTTGACACACACAGAAACTACAAGATGCCAGACACAGAGATGGGAGGGCTAAAAGAAAGCCAAGGAGGGCTGAAGATGGATGGCCCCTGGCCTGGGGACAGAAGCTACGGATGGAGGGCTGAAGACAGATGGCCCCTGGCCTGGGGACAGAAGCTACGGACGGAGCAATTCTCCTTGTCAGCTTTCAAGGACACGAGGCCTTCCCCAGCCTTCCTTCCAGACTCCGGCCTTGAGAACACAGGACAATGCCCGTCTGTTGCCTGGTAGACTTTGATAAAGCAGTCTCGCCAGCTAATACAGTATCTGAGGCCGTTCCCACCTCCAACCAGAAGGGACAATGGGAGTGGAGAGGGGTGGCCAGAGTCGCTGTTCACAGCAGACAGGCAGAGACACTTCAGGTCGTCTGCCCTGAGAGCATGGGGAACCAGCGCCCTGCGCGCCAGCCCGTCCCCAGCTGCCACCCGAGATACGAGGACCTTGTGTACCATGGCTCTTTAAAAGCTCACCCACCTGGCACTACTGGACAGTACGGAATGAGGCCAAAGTTTTGGACAACTGAATTATGGCTGGCAAGACAGAGGTGATCTGAGTTTGATCCCCAGAACCCATGGTGGAAGGAGAGGACAGACTGCAGAAAGTTGTCCTGTGACCTCTACATGATGCCCGGTACGGACAGACAGACACACGGACAGACAGACAGACGGACACACACACACAACCGTACACACATAAAACAGTAGTAAAGAATTACACACAGTCTCATGAGAAGCAGCCCGATGCAGCGCTGACTGTCCCCCAGCACGTTTGGCTCCATCTGATCTGATGACCACACCCTTCGTCTCCCACAAAGCAGCGATTCCCATGTTGGGGATAGGCTGGGGGACATTTCCAGGGGAAACCCTGGCATGGACTCGCCTCTGAATTGCTACTGCCCTTGAATAATTATTTGTGTGCCAGAGTCCTTTGAATTCCAATGAATGCTCGACTCCTCCCCCACCCCAAGACGCCCACGGACGCCGCTTCCCCTGCTGTGCCCGGGGTTCATGGACACCTGGAACAGCTGTGGCTACAGCAACCATGGCCCCTGTGGGAACAAACTGCTCCAAACGGACGCCTGCTGCCCAGACTGGAGGGAAGGCTTGGAGAGGGACCCAGAGTGCTTGTGACTAGCTCGTGACACAGTGACCTTGATATCCCTGGCACACAGACTCCCTGTCACCAGCTCCTTTCTCCACAGGATTCCTGTGCCTTTTAAGGCAGGGAGATGCCCCGGCCTTGGAGCTAGCTATCTGCCCTTGGAGCACTGGGTCACACACTCTCCACCCACTGCAGACTCCTTATCTCTCCCCTCTTCTGGCCCCTTCATTTAAAAGGCAGAAGGGAAGGCACAAGTAAGAACTGAACTGAGCCTCGAATGTTACCTGCCTGATGTCTTCCTGTAACATCTGATCGCACACACACACACACACACACACACACACACACACACACACGCACGCACACACACAGAGGGCTGTCACACTGTAACATCTGATCACACACACAGAGGGCTGTCACACTGTAACACTGATTGATTACACACACACACACACACACACACACACAGGTGTACACAGGGCTGTCACCTGTCACATCTGATCACACATGCACACAGGACTGTCACCTGTCGTGCAGGGATCACTCCCAGCTCTCCACGGATTCTCAGTGGATATTTTGCACACTGCTGTTGTTAGGACAGTGCCTTCTGCTGTGTTAACATTTTTTAATTAAAGCTTTTAAAACATGATTGTGTGTGTGTGTGTATTTTAAAAAGCAAGATTTATCTACTCTAGTTTTATGTGCCTGACTGTTCGCCTGCATATATGCAAATGTACTTGGTGCCTGGTGTCTGTGGAGGCCAGGAGAGGGTGTTGGATCCCCTGGAGTTATGGATGGCTCTGAGCTGCTGTGTGGGTGCTGGGAACTGAACCCAAGCGCCCGCTGAGGAATCCATGCTCTTAACATTAAGCTATCTCTCCATGCCCCAAGGCTGTCCTGTTCACATCACTGGTTCTTTTGGGAAAGGGAGAGGTGTCTGAGGGGCTTCAGAGGCAACCCCGGTAGCCGTGGGATGAGGAGTATGGACTGCCTGGGGAAGTTAAGTCAGTCATCAAGGCACAGTGTGTCAGGGTGGAGAATCGTGGGCCCCTCTGATCAAAGTAGGGGAACATCCCCAGAGGGATGTCAGTCACCCAGGGGGTACCTTTCTCTTCTATGCTGGTTGGTAATTTCGTCAACTTGTCACAAGCAAGGGAAGAGGGTCTTCATTTGAGAAAATGCCCCATCAGACTAATCAGAAGCTAGGGGCTTCTTCTTGACTGATGATTAACGTGGCAGGGCCCAGCCTATTGGGCCAGCACAGGGACATGTGGTCCTGTGCTGTACGCAAAGCGGGCTGAGCAAGCCACAGGGAGCAAACCAGTGAGCGGCCTCCCTCCATGGCCTCCGGTCGGCTCCTGCCTCCAGGTTCCAGCCCTGCCCGCGTTCCTGCCTTGGGTTCCCTTGGTGATGAACTGTAATTGGGGTGTGTAAGATAAATAAACCCCTTTCTCCCCAGGTCACTTTTGGTTTTGATTTGTATTACAGCTGTAGAAACCAAACCAAGACACCTTGAAAAGGGGGCCAGGCGTTAACACTTGGCGTCTGTGGGGGAATACAAAGCAGAATGACGATGGACTTTGGCTTCTGTAAGAGAAGACTCCTGACTTTCACGTGTCAGGACTAAGTTAACTACTAAGTTCTATTACTATTACTTCATCTATGTACGTGTGTGTCTGTCTGTATGACTGTGTGTGTGTGTGTGTGTATGTGTGTCTGTATGAGTGTGTGTGTGTGTGTATGAGTGGGTGTGTGTGAGTGTATGTGGGTGAGTGTGTGTGTATGTGTGTATGAGTATGTGTGTGTGTCTGTATGAGTGTGTGTCTGTGTGTGTGTATGAGTGTGTGTGTGTATCTGTGTGTGTATGTGTGTGTCTGTATGAGTGTGTCTGTGTGTATGTGTGTGCATGGCGGCCAGGGTCAATGTCAGATGTCTCCCCCAATCACTTTCCATCTTATTTTCTTCTAAGCTAATGACTTGTTTATTATTTCATGTGTGTATGTGCGCGCACCGAGTGTGTGAAGTGGCCAAGGAAAGCAGGAAGAGAGCATCAGGACTCTAGAACCAGAGTTACAAGCAATTGTGTGTCTGCCTGATCATCCCCTTCACACGCCTTCCCCAGCCTGCCTAGAGCAACAGCCCTCACCCCACCCCACCCCCAGCACACCCAACCAGCCAGATCTACACACTCCAGGCTTGGACCAGGACACATCTGGCACACCAGTCCAGTCCCCTCTGCTCCCCTGACCTCATTCCACCTAAGGCAACTGGCTCAGGCATCCCTTCTTCCTTTCCCACGGGCTCTGTCCACATCAGACAAAGAACTAGTGAGTGAGTTCTCATGCGCAGATCTCATTGCTGCCAATGAGAATTGCCTAGATGGACTCCAGAACACGCAATTAAAAAAAAAAAATCGTAAACAATCAAATCAAAGAATTCAAGCAGTTTAGAGGAAACAACAAAACAGCTCAATGAAATTAACAGACCTTACACTGAATAAGCAAGGAATAACTAAATAATAAAAATAAGTAAGCAGTTAAAGTTAAAAAAAAAAAAACCCCACAGGAAATGGACATACGGGGAGGTGTGTAACACTATGATAGGCAACAATCGGGGAAGAATCTCGTCAGTGGCAATCCAAGCAGAGGTACAGGGACAAGAAGGATGGAATCAGGGGAGCCCCCAGCAGCTACTGGGGAAGCTAGACGTGAAGTAACAAGCCACAAGCCTTGTGGTAAAATATAGAATAGAAATGGGTTAGTGTGGTTATAAGAGCTAGTCAATAAGCCTGAGCTAACAGGCCAAACAGTTTGTAATTAATATTAAGCCTCTGAATGGTTATTCAGGAACTGGCTGGCAGGAGAGAAACATCTGGCTACAGCTGACTGCTCAATGGAAATTTGGAAAGTCAGAAGTACCTGGAGCAATGCACTCCAAGTCCTAAGAGGCCACCAGGGCCAACCGAGACTAATAT